GGAGAAAAAATCTGCTCAGGTGCTGTACTCAGAGAAGCAGGACCAGCCCTTGAAGCTACCGCCCAGGCATAGGCTGGGTGAGCCCAGGAAGAGCCCAGTCTAGCCTGTCGAGCTGCTCTGCCCCTCAGACACCCTCTTGAAGAGCTGGAGAGGCTCTAGTAGATTCCCATGAAGCAGGAGGCTGCCTCCATCCTGCATAGAGGGAGAATGTGCAACCCTGCAGTCAGGATCCAGGGAGCCTTGGGAGAGCACCTGAGGCCCATCGCAGGCTCCACCCAGCTCTACTTGGGCTACCTGAGGCCCCCAGCTTAGAACAGATTGCAGATGATCATCTCTGCTCAAAGACCCAGGCAGGTGACCTGGATTGTTATTCTACTCTTATCGCTCTTTCTGCGAATGATGAAGCAGTCTCTTTTGGGGCACCCTCCCCTGACAGCCTGGTCTCAGGGACTGCCCATGCTGATTGTAAATCTGGGGTTAGTTTGTGTCCCTACTCTGCCTCAGCCCTCCATGGGTGCTCACTGGCCTCACAGTAAAAGCCCAGGTCCTTGTCACAGCCCCCAGGGCCCTGCAATCCCTAGCCATAGCCCGTTGCCTCTGTCGTCTGTTGCTGTACTACAAACATCCCAAAAGTGACTGAAGAGAACAGAGCTCATTCTGCAGCCTGGGTGTTTTCCTGGGACAGCTGGCTTTGGTGTCCTTGGTGTCAGCTGGGATGGAAGCTTTGGGCTTGCTTTCTGTCCCTTGTCTGTCTCCACCGCGTGTGTCTTCCCTGGCACAGCCACACAGGACACACCCGCCTCCCTTGGAGCCCAAGCTTCCTTAAAGCATGGCAGCCAGGTTCCCAGGGCAAGCACCACTCAAGAACACAGCAGCAGCAGGGCTGCTATCCCTAGTACTGGGTCGGCCAAGGGCAGGGGAGGGGAGTGTCTGTCTCTGGGTACCGGAGGACAAGGTTTGAGAGCACACATCTAGATATGCTGCCTGGGGCTTTGGAAAGATAAAACCTGCCACCTTCCTCTCCCAGCCCTGGGGTCACTGTACACATCTGTGGCTCCTCACGGACTCAAAACTCTAAAGGAGTTCCAATTGCCCTGTACTCCATATGGGGAAATTGAGGCTCAGAGAAGTTTCTGAAAAGGTCACAGGTGGAAATCTCTGCCCTTAGTGTTGGGGGCAGCATGGTGAGTGTGGGGTGCGCTCAAGAGGGAACCCAGCCTGGGGGATCCCCAGAGGGCTATACAGCCCAACTGTTCACAGGGTGCAAGCTGCAGCCAGAATCACAGTCAGCCTTGGCCTTGGCACCTGTGTCCTGGGTGCCTTCCTGCCTCAGAGGTTCAGAGCCTTGTCTCCAGGGATGGCCAGTGCTGAGGAAAACAATGCTCCTTGGCTGGGGGTAGAGCAACTGCTGCCCACAGCTGACAGGGTCTTGCGCCTCCGCCTCACTCCAACCAAGGTTTTCACTTGTCCATGGTGACAGCCCCACAGAGCAGGCTTGACTCTGCAGAGGCAATGTCAGGGCCTTGCTGTGCCTCCAGATAGAGCCCCCTATCTGTGCCAGGGTAGTGTGGGAGAGTGGGGGCACTTCTGGGGGACCTGTGATGCACGCACTATCTAGAGGCCCTGCAAAGCAACTTTCACGCATCTCCAGGGGTCTACAGAGCCAGCACATGTGCAGGGTGGTAAATGCACTCAGGCAAAGGACAGTTTGCAGACGGCTGCCGACTCTCAGCAGGGAAGGGCGATGTGGAGCATGGGCTGGCCTCCGCCTCTCATCCTCCCAGCCCCCAGGCCAGGCCAGAACAGGCGGCAGCAATTGGGCAAGGACCACAGGGAGGCTCACAACCTTGGCTTCAATCATTCAGGCGCCTACCCTGCAGATGTGACTCAAGCCACCCCCAAAATAGATCCTCATTAGCGATTTTCCTCCTTTTTGGAAAAAGGGGGACAGCTACTGGAGATGAAAAGTGCAATAATTAAGCCCATTAGGAAGAGCGCAGCTCACTGCTCACTTGGGACTGCACTGTAAGAGGGACCTGCTCTGTCCTGCTTGGAGGAGGGGATGGTCCCATGCTGGAAACCTGCTGGTCCCAGAGACCAAGGGTCAAGGGAAGGTGGCTGCTGCCCTCTGCTCACACGACCAGCTGTTTGCAGAACAGGGAGGACAGGGGAGCTTTGCTGAAGCTGCAGCACTTTTGCCCAGCAACTGCTTTCCCACCGTGCTGAAGGTCTTCGCCTTTGCCGAGACGCCTCCCTCTGCTGTGCAGTGTATGTGTGGAGCACAGGGAGTGTCACTGGGGGCTCCGGCCAGCCCCATCTGAATGACGCAAGCTCATATGAATTTGAGGTCCCTGCTTCCCAGCAGAAACTCAAGATGGACTGGTTCTGCTGGGAGCTATCGCAGGCAGATGCCAGGGGGTCTGCTTTCTGCCTTGGTGCAAGTGAACAGTCAGTCATCTTAGACCTAACTTAATTTTTTTGGCATAAAGAGTTATAAATACGATGTGCTTCACATATGTGATTCCAAATTAGGTTAGTGAGCTGGGGTCTGTCTCAGGCATGGATAATTTAAAAGCTGAGCAGGGAAAACAGTCTCTTAAAAAAAAGTTACATACAGTTGCCACACGAGTAGGGGCTACCGACCTGGGCACTCACCCAAAGTGCTGAAAACTGGGACTTGAAAAATGCTGGCACACAAGTGCTCGGAGGATCACTCGCAGTTGCTACAGTGTGTCTGTTGGTGGGTGAGCGGGAAACCGGCAAGGCGAGTCTAGAGTGAGATTTGGCTGGACACAAGGAAGAAGCCCCGGCACACGGCACCGCGCCCATGGGCCCTGCAGCACGTGGAAGGCAGAGCCAGCCACAGAGCTCCACGGCAGGCGTTCTATTCCTGTGAAGTGAGCAGAGCAGGCAAACCCACATCGACAGAACTCTGCAGGGGCTCTCAGGAGCAGGGGGAGAAGGTGGTGTGGGCTTTCTTTCAGGGCGATGGAAACACTTCAGAACTAGACAGAGGTGGCAGCTACACAGCTTTGTAAGTGTAAAAAGTACCAGTGAACTGTATGCTTTAAAACGGTAATTTGATCCTGTGATTTTTCAGAAAAAGGAGGAAGAAGAGGAGGCAAGGAAAAAGGAGGAAGAAAAGAGAAACAGATCAAGGACATAACAGGTCAAGGACTTCTCTACACGACGACCTTTCACCCCAGCTTCGTCTTGCTGTTGGCTTCCTCCCTGCAGATGTCTCTCAAGCCACTCTCAAATTCAGTTTACTTACTGCAACAGGGAACATGTTTTAAAGCACTTGTTTAGCATTGTGAGGCACGTGACTTTGATAGCTCCACCCACCCAAGGGTGTGGCAGTCACCAGCAACAGCACTTTTGGGGTCTCAGAGCAGGGAGGCAATAGGAGCACTGCTCTCTGTATGGGGATGGGAAGGGTGTGAGGCCCCAGCTAATCAGATAGGGACCCCGGCTTGCCCATGTCAGGAGATCTAAGGTGGCCAGTGGGATCTTCAAACATTTGAATTTTTGCTAAGGCTGCACTTGGTTATGAGGGGAGATCTGCAGTTTACCAGATTTGTTTTCCAGCCTGCACAGTCTCAGATGGAGGAATAAAGCAGGTATGGGTTTGTCCTAAATGTCAAGGCTTCCTTCTTTTCTCATGGTAAACAAGTCTCAGAAGACCTGGCTTTCCTCGAGGCCTCGGCCTCAGTGATTTCTGTCGCTGTGAGCATTGCCCCATTAAGCGGGACGGAGGTGGGGGGGTGGGAGGGTGGGTGCAGGCTCATTTCTCATGCTCACAGGACTGCTGGGACAGATTCCTCCTGCTGGGCAGAAGCTCCCTGCTAGGAAGAGGCCCACAGCTTACGCAGTAGCATTTTCCTTCTTATTCAAGATCAGCCCTAAGGGCACAAAAACTGCACCACCACCCCCGCCCCGCTTGATGGGACAACGCTTACAGCAACAGAAGTCACTGGGGCCTCGAGGAAAGCCAGGTCTTCTGCGACTTGTTTACCATGAGAAAAGAAGGAAGCCTTGACATTTAGGACAACCCATAGCTGCTTTATAGATCAGTTTTTGTGCCCTTTGGGTTGATTTTGAGTAAGCTGCTTTAAAATTCTATTGTTGAGATTGGGGAAAATAAGAATTTACAAAATTCACTTCAGAAAACAGAGCTTCCATTGCACTGTTGCCTGGCACAAGCCACCATCCTCAAAGCCCAGATCCCAGTGGACTAAGGCGATGGAAGCTTCCAAGCTTTCTGTAGACCGCAAGCCCTTGGCCTCCCTCCTGTCCAGCATCACCAGCTGCGGGGGGTGGGGCCTCATCATTCACAGTAGCTCGGAAATTCTGAATATGGGAACACACCCATCTCTCAAGCCCTCTGTCACTTCCTCAACTATTTCCAGTGGCCTTTTTGCAGGCTTTACTCCAGAATCATCAAGGTAGGAAGCTCACCCTTTGCTTTAGGTGAGGGTGATTTCTCTAGTACTTTTACCCAATCTGCTAATTTCTTACAAAAGAAGCCAAGAGTTTTCCATTTTATAATTCCCTGCAGATAAAACACTGTTTCAGAGAGACATTTAAGAACAATACTTTGTGTAGAGGTCCCAGGATTCATATCTGGTCAGTGAATGGCTAGATTCTACTTCCCACCCAAGTCTGAAGGAGGAAATTTGGGTGGGGGAGAGAAGTGTAGCTTAGAGAAGCAAGGGCGAGGGGTGGCACGGAACACACCAGTTAAGCACAAGCATGTGCTTGCTAAAATGATAGTCAAATCACATGTGAGTATGTGTGTGGCCAAAGCCTCGCCCAGGATATTTCTCTGAGCAAAAATATTTGGCATAAGTAGAAGTTCCCTCTCCACCTAGCCTGTATGAACAGTTTTGAAATGCTTTGTTTAGAGTGCCTGAGAACTATACCAAAAATCCACTTATTTGAGACAGGTTTTTCTTTAAACACATCAAGAAGAAAGACAACTCTACAGCAAAACACACTTCTTTCTGTGTTTAAATAATCACGTAAGCATCCAGCTTTATCAACATGAAACACTTCTTACAGACCATCTAATGTATGTGCAATGGAGAACAAAGTAGAATTTTCCATACAAGTAATGAATATTACTTGCAGGCTAAGACTGTCCAGAAAAGAAAAAAAAAATACTGCTTTATTAGATCCATTTTCTAACTACAAAGATAGCGGATACAAATATCAAACACTTCCTTTCATATGACAGTCTGCTCAGAAATGGTTCATGCAACTCCACGACGGTTAGTTAACACAGGGCAAATATCTGGGCTGCAGGCGGGAGGCCTGCCGGCGGGCAGGAGCGTACGTACAACATGGTCGCACATCAGCTCTTCACAGTCGTGTCCAAACGCTCAGATATGGCTTTCAGATTGTTGTTTCTTTTCTGCGAGTTAGAAAAAGGTAAGACATAGTCGTACAGACGAATATTTTAAAGATGATTCTTCCTGTCCGTGACTGTAGCTTACAACCTCCACCCAAGGTGCAACTCAGGCATGTTCCATAAGGGGGCGTTAACTCCTAAGGCACAATTACTGTATTAGGTTTAAACATGTTTTAATTAAACCATGCTTTTTGGTTATATGAAACAATAGGTCATTACTAATAATAGTGTGTAATAAGCAGTTAATTATACAAAATGCAGCAGGAAAGCCTACATTAACCTATCTGTTAACAGTAACTAATCTGACAACATTACATATATAGTAGCTACATCTGAAAACATTGTTTTTGGTAATTGTTTTCTTAGATGAAGCACAGCACTAGCTATAAGGCTTCTGTGAAATAATAATCCTATAATAGAACAAATATATTACACTCCCATTGTAATGTTATTTACAATTACTTCCCAATTTTGCTATGTGCTAACCTACGGGCATCTGAATGCACCTCCACACAATCTAAAGTGCTCTGTAACTGCATGAGAAGAGAAAATGCCACCTGTATCTATCTCTGTGGGGCTATGAACCTCAACAGGAAGGTGATGGAAGCCAGGTTTAGACTCAGGTGCATTCTCCAAAGTGGATCCTGATTATTGCTAACGTGGAAGCCCCGCTGGGCACAGCCTGATCATCACCGTCCCTGTCACTCACTACTGATACATAAATATATGCCTATATATGTACACACATGCAAATGCAAATCTATCCTGTGACAGACAGGTTTCCTTTTTGTCCAGTACCCTACTTGTGCTATTTAATGTCCCTGTGCTATGTTCGAAGCCGGATTATAAACAAAAATTCCCAGCATGCTACTATTAATAATCCTATTGTTTTAGTCACACAGAGGAGGGAATATAGACTGAAAGAGCTGAGATGGCAGATTGGAAAATCTCTAAAATGCACTGAATAAGGCAACAGAGTTGTATAGTACAGCCCAGGAAAAGTTGAAATAAGAAGGAAGTCATATTAGGTTTCTCTCACAACTCTGGCTAGCTTGCCAGAATTCTCTTAATTTATACAAAGGATAAAGCCTCATAATGAAATGTTTTTATAGCTTTTGCTTCTACAAATACTCTCGTGGTAGTAAATCCAATGTTCAATTCCATGATGCCCTGGTGTGGTGGTCTGAGTAAATAAGGCACTTCTTCCAGTATTGAGATCCAGGGTGCGGAGAGTTAGGCTTGGGTTTGCTTGCAAGCCAGGCTCTACCTATGAGGGCCCGTCCCTGGCCTCATCCACCCTCTGTTTTTATGAGATGGCTGTTCTTTCAGGAGATGCGGCGGCCTGCCTTCCTCCCTTCTTGTTAGAGAGCTCCCTCTTTGTCCATGTAGTCTTTAGCTCCTAGCGTTCAGTCAGTTGGAAGTTCTGAGTGGTACCAGACGTGCTCAGGTCATTTCATCACAAGTCTCATAAGCTGAGGCTCAGCTGTCCCACTGAGCTGACTCCACACAGCTGTCAGCTCCAACGTGGCCACCTATGAATGGGGGCTCGTGCTGGAGAGATCGTTGCGTATGATTTCATTTACTGCAAGAAAAGGAGAGAAAGCATTAGGCAAGCAGCCCTCTGCAGCGAACCTAGACACAGACAAGCAAATGCCATCAGCCATGCTTCTAATCAGTCATGTTCAGCTGTGACGAGGCATCTCCCAGAGGCACTGGCACTTGTCTAGCTCCCTCCACGGCCATGGGGTTCCTGAGCTGTCACACCCAGATCGCTCTGGTCTACCAGCACGGTGCAATGAACCATGAGACGCAGTGCTGACCACCGGGGACAGGCACTAGGTGTTCAGCTGCTGAGTTGGATCCTTGACCACACCTCTCCAGGAGCTTGCCCAGCAACTGAGAGAAGCGTCTCCACGGGCACCCAACACCTCCCTTTGGGGCTTCTCCTTCACTTTGTTTCCCCGTAAATGGTCAAGTCACAGCGTCCATCATGATGATCACTATCAATGTGTGATTTTTGGCAGATGGACAGGAAACGAGAAGAGCTGGCAAAAGCCATCACCACTCTCTACCGCACAACATCCCCTCTCTCCACCCCACCTCCAGCTGTGGCCACCTGACCACACTGTGATAGGAAATGTCATTAGGCAGCTGTCACCACGTCCCATTTTCCTAGCAGAGCTGGGAGGTGGGAAGCCTGCGCTGACGTCATGGAACTGCCCAGGTTTCCCCTCGCCATGGGTTGGAGAGCCTGCGCCCAGATAAAAGCTTGGGCTCCAAGGCCTGGCGTCTCGGGCAGCTTCCTGGAGCCGTCAGTGGGTGTGCGTTTCATCACCTGCTCCCTCCCTAAACTCCCTTTCAACACCCCCCAACTATTTTTAAGAATAACAATAATAAATGTAGATGGGGGAACCAGGAATTGTGTCATGGGAACTGATAACAGAAAGAACCCTGGCTACAAACAAAACACGGGCTTGCCTGGCAGGAGACCCTGTGCAGGGAGAGGCACCCCACAGCCCCAGCCCAGCCACCACCGTCCTGACTAGCCCTGCCAGGAGCCTGCCGGTGCTGTCCTGGGCTGCTCCACTGGGGCCAACTTCACTAACAAGGACAGAAGCACCCAGATGGCTTCCAGGTTGGCTCCCCATGGGTGGCCGCCGCTCCAGGACTCCTCTGAGGGGATCCCGGCTTGACCTTTGACCACAGGATGCCAGCCACACTTAGAAGAGGGCCCTGGCTTTCAGGACAGAAAACACCAGAAGGGAGGCAGGCCCCCTCCTGCCCTGTGACTCTTCAAAGCCACTAATGAGGAAATACCACAGCCCAGGTGCTCACAGCTGGTCCAGGACCAGTGTTCAGGACCCAACTTGTCCCCGGAGCGCACACGGGTAGCTCCACAGTTGCCGGCACTTTCCATGACATTCGGCAGATGGGTGCAGGGCCACGGCACAGCCCCGGGAAGCTCTGGGCAGTGGGCACCAGGGAGGGCAGAAGCCATCTCCTCAGGACAGCACATGTCCCTGGCTGAAGGCCACAGGGCCTTGCTCATCCTTCTCTTGCCCCTGGGCATTGTGCTGTGCTTGGCTCCTCCAGCTGAGGCAGGGTGCCCAGGGTGCCCCACCATGAGGCAGGGTGCCTGCAACTAGAGGTGCTTAGCTCTTCTGTCTCCTCCACTTGTTCAGTCTTTTTTGTAAAGAGGCACACGTCTAATTTATACCTTGCCTTGTCACTGTCACATCAAAGAATATTTGACAAAGAAAAATCATGAATCTCCAGTTTCTTTAAGGTATTTCTTAGGAAGACAAAGGCTTGTCTATAATTAGGATTTCTCATTACCAAATGAGAAGGGTTTGTTCTGCTTACTACCCCTTTGGCGAGGAAACAGAAACACAAGTTACAACAACCTCACCCTTTGTCTCTGGTGCCCTTGATAGCTCCAAGTTGCTGTGGGGGCATCCCAGCCCTCCAGCTCAGGCCCCAAGCCTGGAGTCAGGACAGTTTTGGTCCTCGTTCCACATTTGGTGCTCGGATTCCCACGCAGGAACAAACACTCAGCCCTAAGCTCCTGGGCCAGTGACCCTCACCTGGGTGGCAAGTGGGCAGGCCGGCCTGGGAAAGATGTCTGCAGGGGCCACGATGGGGAAATAAGCCACCTACTCAGAGGAGGAGGAAATTTCACCAGCTTTGGGTACTTCTGAACTAGCCCCACACAAGGAGAAGTGAGAGGATGTTCAAATGCACTACACCAAGACAGCTAGGGTTATAGCACTCATTCAAATCTCAGGGAGACTTGAGCAACAGACCAGAGATCTATACTAACAGAGGTTGAGGGGTGGAAAGAAGGCTAAGAAACACTAACAATAGGACAAATGGAGGCTTGAGAAGTAATGAGGGCGACAGGAGGAAGACCTGAAGCATAATACTGATGAAACATGAGGAAGGACCAAGGAGTAATAGTAGTGGGACTGAAAGGAGGCCTGAGAAGTAATGACGACAGAGGAGAGGGCTGAAGCGTAATAGTGATGTGCTATGAGGGGGTCTGAGGGGTAACGACGACAAGAGAGGGGTGGCCTGAGGAGTGACAATGGTGGGATGGGGGCAGGAGATCTGCGGAGTACTAATGGTAAGAGAAAGGGTCTGCTGGGTAATAATATGAAAGGTGCAGGAGGTCCGAGAGGTTGTGAGGAGGACACGGGGAGGTATTAGCAGGAACCCTGACGCAATCTGAAGCAGTGCTGAAGAGTAATAATCATGGGACACGAGGGAGGTCTGAGAAGTAATAATGAAGAGAAGTGGGAAGTCTGAGGGACAGAGAAGAGAGACCTGAGGAGTAACAGTGGTGAGGAGGGAAGGAAGTTCTGAAGCGTGATCACAGGATGTGAGCAAATTCTGAGAAGTAATACTGATGGGATGCGAAGGAGGTCTGAAGAAGAATGGGATGTGAAAGGTCTGACAGGCCAATAATGGGGCAGGAGGGAGACTTACGGTGTAATAGTGAGCTCTGAGGGCAGCTGGAGGAGTAATCTGTGGGACAAGAGGGAGGTTACATGAGTAACAACGACGATACAAGGAGGCCTGAGCCATCGTAACCATGGGACAGGAGGCGATTCTGAGGAGCAATAATGACATGCCTATGAGGAGGGCAGAGATACAGTAATGATGCAAGGTGAGGGAGGCCTAACGAGTAACAATAATGGGAGAGAAGGGAGACCTGGGGTAACAGCAACAGGAGAGGGTGGAGGCATTCGGTGAAGCAGCAGAGAATCTTCTAGCCACTCATGATCCTATAGACCACAGGAAAATAACATCTGCTTGAAAGGTAAAAGGGGAAGAAACATGAGCTGTGGGCTTCCCCCTGCTGCCCACTGGGGCACCTGAGCCTCACAGGGAGAGCCCAGGGTGGGCTGGGGAAAACAGTGGTGAGTCTCCAGCTCCATGGGTCCCCAGCTGGCTGCAGTGGGCTACCCCAAGGCTACTTCACTTTCTCAGTCCTGATGGGCAAGTCACCGAGTTCTCAGGGGAGCTCCAGGCCTGCCAATGCGCACCTGTGCCACTGGCTTCAGGTGAATGACCAGTCCTCTCCTCCAACAGGCTGAGGTGGAGGTCTGGCCGGGATCATTATGTCTCTGACTTCACAGGGAGTCACAAGAACCATGACACTAGCTCGAACATCCTCTAGGATCGTCCCACATTCTCCATGGGACCAAATGGGGCATGGAGCAGCTGAGAGAAACTAAAGACGGACAACAATGCAACTGCGTGATGATGAAGCCGTGGAACATACAAAGCACAGTGGGTGATGGTCCACACAGCTGTCTACACATGGAGATGTGAAAGGCTGCTCTTTTTCAGACAAGGGCTCTGCCACGACCCTGGAGGAACTCTTTGCTCCCCTCTCACAGCAGACGAAGGGCCCACCTGAGGATATGGCTGGCTGATGGCTCGGCTGAGAACCTGGCTCCTCCCCGCTGCCCCACCACTCTCTTCCATGAGGTCACGGTTCTGGGTCTCTATCAGCCCACGTTGCCCTGAGCTCTGCTGGTTCCCGGGGTGGCTTTCTCTCTGATACGGCCGTGTCAGCGACACCCACGGGTTCACACAGCGCCTTCTCTCCACTGATCATTTCCACCTTCTTATTCAGCTTTTCCACCAGCACGAAAGCTTCTCTTTATAGAGGTGCTTTGAACTGCAGGTGACATGTGACCCTCACAACATGCCTGAAAGAGGAACTCTGCTCTGCTTACTTAGTCAGATGTCCCTCAACAGGATGTGGCAGACTGTTAGACCACAATTCAATTTAATAAGAAGGGTTTTTTCCCTTATATTTGATTTTCTCTAAAATGCTCCTAAGGTGGAAACTATTGGTTTTTTTCTAAAGCATAAGTGTGGTAATTTGAATCCCTGTTAAAATCTGGGATGTCGACCGAGGCTGTCTTTGTCCCTAGGTCTCACGTCCACAAACCTGCACTCCCACCCACCTCTGTGTACATGTCTGGAATTGGGTGAACAGGAAATCAGTTTTATTTTTTAAACATAAAAACTAAAAAGTTCAAAGCACAGGCAGCCCTTGCCACTTATATTCACAGCACCTGTAAACACGAGTGGGTCCTTCCTGCTTCCACACAGTGTGCACTTGACTGTCCACACTGAGCGCAGGTCAACAGTTAGGTGAAAAGCCCTTCCTAACTGAAATAAACGAATCTTCATGGAGCTGGTTTCCCCTTCTGAGTGCCTGTTTGAAAAAGGCTGACAGTAAACCTCAGACTGCAGAGAAACATCCACAGCTCATCTCTCAAGTTTCACTCGTGGGTTTTTGTATGACTATATTGAGAACATTACAAACCAAAAAGGAATCCGTGAGTCTGAAAATCGTTTCATATATTTTGCCCTTTCAATGCCTAGCTTTTAAGCAAAGTGTCCCCACATTTCTCAACTGCTAGTTTTTGAAAGCAGCTAAGGAGCTCAAGTCAGTTTTAAGGAATGAGCAAACTTTTTATTTGTCCATCGTTCATGTTCCCTTCGTGGGGCCACAGCCTTCCTACATCATCTTTTGGTCCTTGCAACAGCTGTAGGAGGAAGTAAAGGCCGGCACTGTACTGGCCAGTTCTGCAATGGAGAAGCCCCAGAAGGCTCAGAAAAGTGGAGTGGTTGCCTTTCAATGCTGGGGATGACGTCGAGGCCTGGTGAGAACGTAGGGTAGGTAGCCTGCCCCTGTGCGCACAGGCTGGCTTCCACTGGCCCTTCCAGGCTGTGGTCTTTTGATCCTGCTGGCAAGTTCACAGGACTATATGTGAATTTAAATAATAATAGTAATAAGTATAATAAAAGAATTCAAAGGCATGAAAGGACTCAGATGATTGCTAGGCTGGAGCTGGAGAGGTGACTGGGGACACAGGGACACAAGACCTCTGGTGTTAGGGGCAACCAACTCCTGCTCTTCCAAACCTACCTTCACACTGTCCGCCTTGTTTCTGGTCCTCACTGTCTGCACCTGCAGGTGCTCCAAGTCCAGTGTCTCTGGGGTGTGGTCAGGTATAAGGTTGCATGTACTGTTACTTTTCTGTGGCATGTGTCTCTTAGAACAAAACACCAACATATGCACCCACAAACACCACCACATATATAAACATGGTCTTCTCCTACTCGAGCTAAATAGCTATTTTTTTAGTCATTAGTCATTTCTCCTGTACTAGCTTTTATGTGCTTTAAGTCTTCTGAAAAAGGTGGGGGTGGGGGAAGCGACCAAAGGAACCACATGCAGCCTGCACTGCTGCTTATTTTCTGTGGCTTTGTGAGAACAAACAGGACGCGTCAGCACCCCTTGCCTAGAACAGCGGGGTGAGCACCACTTGAGAGGCATCGGTGGCCATCCCAGTGCCGGGACAGCTCTGCTGACAGCCAGCTCAGAAGCTTCACTCAGAAATCCCTACAGCAGGGTGGGAGGCTCAAGCACCTGGACATAATCACGGCTTCGGGGAGAGCTCCAGGCCTGACACGCCCCAGTGAACTTCTTGGTTTCCATCCCATTCTTGAACTTGACATCAAAGTGGCCCCTCTGTTTTCCCGTCTTGGTCTCTCATCCCATCTTCTATTCTACTTCTGCAGCACCTTATTTCTTGTGCCTCTACAGTAGTTGGTCTCATGTATCTTGTTGGTCAAGGGTCCTAGAGAAGTAACAGCGCATAATGCCAGTGTTGGGCTGGGCATAGCTGGCACTCTGAATAACACGCCAATATAGCACGTCGAATGGCAGCAACAAATGATCACTACAAAAGCCAGCCCTGGATCCTAAAGTCAAGCACATCTCTGAATCCAGAATTGTTTGTGATAAGAGCTGGGACAAAAAGGAACCCTGAGAGGAAGAGAACCCCTAAAAACAGGCAGAAACAACACTAGAAAATATCTAGCATTATTTTAAAGCCAGACCTGACCTTCTATTTTGCAAAAGCATTCATGGGATGAGCCAGGTGAAACTTTTCAAATGGTAATGAAACAACTTTGAAGCCAACAATTCCTAGAGATTTTCCAACTTTTCTCAGGCCAGAATTCTCTTTACTTTCCTCAACCATCATTGCTGAGTCTCTGGAGCAAACTCCTGGCTCCTGGCAGAGGAGGCTCTGAGACCTTTCTTATTCCCCACCTCTGCCCCTTGGTTTTGTCTCCTGGCCCGGCTCTGGCAGTGGGTGGGAGGCAGTGCCAAATCCTCCCACTGTGTCCCAAGTCCTGCTGCACTCTGGGTGTGTTCCCCCACTCAACTGGCCTCCTGGACCCCGTCTGTAAAGGGGCTTGGCAAGGTGCCCTTCTGCTCCATGTGTTGGGGACTCCTCGATTACCTCAAATGGAGAAACAGTCTCCTCCTGTATTGGAGCCCCAAGTCAGGGATGAAGGCCACTGCCGCTAGTGTGGGCTCATGGCCTGCCTCCTGCAAGCTCACCTGATGCCCACTGACTACCATATGTTACCTGTATCTCATTTTGGAGACAGAGTCAGGCTGGCCACACCTCACACAGCAGGGGAAGGGAAAGGATGGTGGCCCTGTTATGGGAGGGCTTGACTGGGGCCACACCTGAGCTTTGAGTGTGGGCTCAGTGAAGGGACCTGGGCCTTTCCCAGGTCTCTATGACAGAACAATGTGCCTCAAATGCTCCATCAAGCAAAATCCTCAGGTGCTCTGATCACCCTGCTTTAGGAAAGACTCACTGTGCACTCACTTTCTGGTGAACTTTCAGTTCACCTGTTGTCGGAAAGAGAAAGATGAGCCCAAGCAGCTGAGTGGAAGTCACAGGGTCTAAAGCGAATGCAAAACAGCGCGGCACCGCACAGGCAACGCCCGCGCACATGACTTAAAATGGTGCCTTTGCAGGGCTTCTTTGCGCGGCCACACTTTAGCCTCCAGATTTCCCGCCATGCACACGTAAAACCTTTTGTTATCAGAACAAATATCTGCGTAGGGCTTTTTAGGTAAATGCAAATATTAGCTTTGTCTTTCCCTCAAATCAGAAGAGAGCCAAATCATGAGAGCCGATGGGCAAAACAATGGAAAAAGATAGTTTGACAAAACTGAGCTGCCAGTGCCTGGCTGCCCACAAACCAATGTGGGCCCGTCCATTCCGTTTCCTTCCGGGGACCCATGGGAGGACAAGCAGTGATCCGCACAGCTCAGAGGCCAGCTAAGACCCCTCAGGCTTGGGGAATGTGGCACCCGGTGAAACGTCCGGTATTTTCTCAACGGTATTCAGATCTGCCTCAGTCCTAGTCTCTTCGAAACTGAATTTAGGTTAAAGAGTAAGAAATCTAGTTCAGCAATGTCAACCCAGATACACTGTTTAATTCTTGCATTTAAAAAGTTTAACTTTTTTGCTGAAAAAGTACTGTTGCGTCAAATTTTAAAAACATATCTGTTGACATAGGTAGTGTTAGCTTAATTACATAAAGACACTGGGAAGCATCTTCTTCCTTTAGTTGTCAGGCCGGCCCTAATAAAGAAAATAATCATGCCATGAATCTCAGAAGCCACCGGCGTG